GGGGGGGGGGGGGGGGGGATGCCCAGTAAAACGGAAACACCAGGAAAATGCACACACCCCGCTCCCCTCGCCAGCGACCGGCGGCCGTCGGACTCTCCCAGGCACAAACCCGACTTCTCACACCCGAGACCACCAGTCCAAATACCCCGCCGTCACAACAACAGCCAGGCAGGGGGGGGGGGCAGACATGGTAGCTGGTCATTTGCCAACGATCAGCGAGCTAGGTCTAACGCTGTTGGGAGTGCGTTGATATCACGTGTTTATGTCACAAGGGCGGAGGGCAACACATCCTTGCCTCCATTCGACAAGAGGGGGGGGAGAGAGAGAGAGAAAGGGGCCGAATGAGGCAAAGAGAGGGCGAGAGAGAGAGAGAGAGAGAGAGAGGGGGGGCAAAGGCAGATATGCCCATGAACAGGGGGGGGGGGGGAGCAGGAGACGCAAAAAGGACTGAGACCAGCAAAAGAGCCACTGGCAGCGAACGACGGACACTCCGAGGAGGAAGGGGAGAGGCAGGGAGTCGAGCACAGGTACCCTCACCGGGCCCCTTATCGTCGGCGAAGGTGGAGGGGGGGGAAGCCCCAGCCAGGGATAATCCTCACACAAAGCCGAACAGGGCCCCGGTGCGTGTCGCGTGTCGCGGGGGGCAACCCTTGGGATGCGCATCGAAATGAGCAGGCGCGCTGGGGGGGGGGGGGCGGGAGATCCCGGTATGTGTCCTTTACATGTGCAGCTGGATCAGCTCATCGCTCACAGCCGCCGGCGTCAGGATGCCGATGTCCGTGAAGAGCAGGGTGATGAGCTCCGGCGGAGTGTAGTCGATGATTTGGTCGAACTTCTGTGTGCGGGATTCGAGGCCAAGGGAGGGGCCACAGGGAAAGGGGGAGGAGGGCCAGGTGGTGTCAGCGGTCTGGGAGAACAATTCGATGCCAAGCGGCTCCCACACAAGGCGGCACAAACCGGCGTGCATGGGGGAAATCAAGAAGCAACCCGAGCTCGGGAGAAGGAAAGAGGAGAGTCGAGGAGGGAGACACGACAGAAGGCCGAGCAAGAGCCGCCTCGTCCCCCGCCTCCTCCCGGTCGCCGGGACAAACAGAGCGCACCTCCACGGCGGGCTTCTTCTCCTCAGCGGGGCTCGACTGCTCGCACACTGCCCCGGCGGCATGCGGCTTGTCGCACACCCAAGACGAAGGGGTGCCCATGACCGAGGCATTGAGGCCGATGTCGGTCTGGTCCAGGGGATAGGCGCGGACGAACTTATACGACTCGGCCACCACGTAGAAGGGCTTCCCGGCGGCGCGGGCCACGATGGCCGACTGGTAGGTGCCGATCTCGTTGATGACACCGCCACTCTCGACGACACCCTGGGCACCGGTCAGCACCAGATCCACCCGCTGAATGGTGTGAGCCACCGCCGCATCGGGCAGGACCTTGGCCGGGATGTTGAGCCGGGTCAGCTCGCGCACGGTATCATGGCCGTGGCTGCCGGCCGGCCGCGACTCGGTCACCAGCACATCAAAGCGCACGCCATTCTTGGCGGCCCCGAGCAAGACATCCAGCACCATGCGCGAGAAGCCGATGGCCAGGACCGTCTGCCCGTCCTGGATGAACTGCACGGCATTCGTGACGATCTGGGCCCGGGCCCGGAGTGCCCGCTCGGCGAAGCGCCGGCCACTGGACACGATCGTGTCCCGGAGAGCCGGAGCCTCCTGGCCGCCGACCGAATTGATCAGTGTCCGCGCCACGAAGCGCTGGAACAGGAAAGACCCGGCCGAAATGCCGATCGAGTTGTGCGTGTACTTGAGAAGATCAGCGATCATGAGCTTCACGTGGGTGAAGATCTCGGAAGTGGTGCTGACTGCCGTGTGCAGGGGGGGGGGGGGGGGCATTCCCGCCGGAGAGGAGACGAGCGGGTGAGAAACAGTCGCACATGGCGCAATAGTTGGGGTGTGTGTAGGTGTGTGCAGGTGTGTGTAGGTGTGCGCAGGTGTGCGCAGGTGTGCGCAGGTGTGCGCAGGTGTGCGCAGGTGTGCGCAGGTGTGCGCAGGCGTGGATTAGCCCGACTACGGGACATGCATGCGCACCATCCTCAAGGGAAAGAGCATTGCTCAGGGCCACGACGGCGGCCACCGGCAAGGGGGTCTCCGGCGAGCGGGAGCGCTCCTCATTCAGGAAGCGGATGGCCTCCTGGCCTGAGGAGACCGGAAAAGAAGGGCGGGGGGAGGTTAGCTCCAGAGGGAGAGTGTGCGATCGGCAGACACACAGACACACAGAGACTCGGGCGAATGGGCCAAGGGGCAACGGACCGAGGCTGGGCTTTGACATGGGCAATCAACAGGGCCGGGCGGGCTGCAGACGGGGGGAAGGAAGGTAGAAAAGGGGCGAGGGAGGAGGGAGGGATAGAGTGTGGCGGAGGGGACGGATTAAACTAGCCGTCGCACATGCGGCTGGCTCACAGGCCGGGCCCCCTTCAAAGATGCAGGGTGTGCGTGGGCGCGTGTGTGTTCGTGTGTGTGTGTGTGTGTGTGTGTGTGTACGTGTGTTAACACACGCACACGAGGAGGGAGCACGCGCGCGCGCGTGTGTGTGTGTGTGTCCCACCGCAGCCCGGGAAAGACGACTCAATCAAGCGCCGGATGCTGGTGGCCCGGCCGCGCAGGGATCCCCTGCCCTTCCTCCTACCCTTCTCAGGTGGGAGGGAGCAGCACGGCGGCGGCCGCGGGCCCGAACAAAGACCAGCCCGATATCCTAAATCGCCATGAAAGCCCGGCTGCCCACGGAAGTCTCGATCGTTGGCACCCATACGCGGGGAGGCCCCCGCGGCCACCGCACAGATCGCGGCGCACGTTCCGGGCCATTTCCCTGATCTCTGGACCCCCTCGGCCTGTGCGCCGGCCCTCGACGCCTGGCGTGCTTGCTCGCTTCGGGTGGCCCCCGCTCCACCCTGGCCAGCTCTGAGCGTATGTCTCTGTGCGAGTGCACCTTGGACGGGCTCGGACGCTGATCGGAGATGATTCCCCCTCCCCCCTCACACACACGCACACGCACACGCACACGCACACGCACACGCACACACGTACACAGCCTGACTCCGACGAAATGAACTGGCCTTTCTATGAGTCCGCCCTGGCCGGGGCTCTGGCTTGCGACATCTTTCATCCCCCC